CGCGAAGCACTATTCTGAGCATACGTCGATGTGATATGGCGCCACATCTCATGCGCCGTTGAAAACCGACGCAAGCTTAGTGCAGTAGGAATATCCACCGACGTCACTAACCAGGTGATGAGCTGTGCGTTGGCAGCCACCCAGTCTTCCCTCTTCTTCTCTGCAGCGCCTTCACCAGGCTGCTTCTTTTCCCCAAGAAGAATGGGCAACATACGTTTTCCCGCAGCAAAATTGCGGAACTGGAACTCCCAAATGGCATAGTTTTTGCCATCAAATTTGATAGCCACCGAATCGGCCTTAGATAGATCCATGCCGCTACAACTATCAACAATCACACGGCCAACAAAAGAACCTAGTCCCAAAGACAGCAGCAAACAACAAAGCCTCACTAGACGACAACGACACACCCAGCAATCACCAAACTCCAAAACAAACAAGATTGCTAGAAGAAGAACTCACGCTGCCGCCACCAAGAAAACGAGAAGCGTACTAACTATTTAGTGCATAGGCTCTGATACCATGATAATTAATCAAGCTAAACGGCATAAAACATCAAGATTTAACGTGGTATCCCTGATGATCAGGACTAATCCACGGGAGAAACGGCACTCTCCAAAGGGTTTCACTAGGGTAAAACGGCTTAACCTGCTACAAAGTACAGTTTGGCTATTTAAAGGGAATCAACACTAAACCTAACAACTAACGTGGCTGCTAATAATAATAATTACAAATTGGTCCTTTATATATATATAAATCAACACTTGGCAGACCCACAAATCCCACAGGACTCAGAAACTTGAAAGGATAGAAAAAAATGGCAGAGTATCTATTATTGGCCAAATTCCTGTGTTAGTTTCTGATGACTTTTTTTTCCGGCCTCCATTCTCCCCATTATACTAATGATGTGTTTGGATTGAGGTTGGGAAAGATGATTAAGAAAAGGTTAAGTAAAAGTGAGTTGGGACTTGGCCACATGAAATATCACGGTGATACAGGTTTTGTTTTATAATTAATGTTACTTAAGAGATTTGATTTGACTTAAGTGATAATATCATTGGACCAAGCCCTTAATCATGAAAGAGCAGTAGAGCACCACCTATGATTAATTTATCGGACATGCAAGATTATCCATCTCGATACTACATCACTCCCCAAAATCCATCTTGTCTCCTAGACACGTCCTAATCTATTCCTTGTATTCATGTTCTATGCTTCTATTTTCCCCCGAAAGTAAATAACTAATTTTCCAACATTTTTTATTCACGAGAATGGGAGACGGAAGAAGATGAATTTGAACCGGAAACTTTTGTCAAACAAGTTCAAACACCTAAAGCACTATCACCTTGTTGGCCTAACAGATCCTATCTTAAAAGTTTGTCTATCTAACACTAGGGTGAATGCTGAATATGATACTACCCCTCAGTAGGGGTGGGCATACGGTTCGGTAAACCCGAACCGAACCGAAACCGATCGAGACCGAACCGAAACCGAAATAAAGTTATTCGGTTCGGAATTCGGAAAGGTAATGTGGTTAGTTCGGAAACCAGGATCTTCTCGACCGAACCGAGATTCCGATTACCGAACCGAACAACCGAAAATCACCCCAGTCCACATATCTTACCTTACTCCTCAGCCCACCTTATTTCGGGCCTTGGCCCAAACCCTTCCCCCTCACCCCTCAGCCCACCACGTCGTCATCATAGGCTCCCACCCTCATCTAGACTCTTCCTAACCCTAAGAAAAATAGAGAGAGACACTATAGCATTCGCCGCGCCGCTCGCCCACCTGTTGCATGTCGCTCGCCGACCATCTCTCATCTTCCCAGACCTCTCTCGCCTCCCCTCTCATCTCACGACGATCCAGGTCCCAGGAGAAACCAGTCAGTAGCGACCCTGAACTAGCGGCAAGGAGACAAGCTCTATCGGCAACCCGATCTGGAAACGCCTTCTAGTCCCACTCAAGCTAGCTTGCAGCCCCCTCCTCGATCTGCTGCCGGCTGATTCATGTAACTAATCCCGCGGCGGCGTTGCGGGCTCGGTGTGGGACGACAGAGTGGGAGTTGATTTTGCCGTTGGTGGAATTAGGAAAGTGAAAGATTGGGATTGGTGGCTGTGGCATTTAGGGGAAGAAGGAGTTGGCAACGCACTAACGCAACAATGGAAGCAATGAGAAAGAAGAAGAAATGAGATTTCTTCCCATAGTGCACGATTGAAGAGGAAATTTTAGAGTGGGAGATGGGGTTGGGATTGGAAGGAATATAGGGTGTGGGTTGGGTTCTGTCTGGGAGTGGGAATCGAGGGGAAGAAGAATGGGAATTTGTGAGGTTTGCATTAAGACTGATGGGAAGCGTCGGTTTCATCGGGTTCCCGATTCCGAACCGATTATATTTCGGTTCGGCCAGACCGAACCGAAATATAATTCGGTTCGAAATCGGTTTGAGCTTTGGGGGCACTCAGGGTATCGGTATATTGCTGTTCGGTTCGGTTTGAACCGAACCGAACCGATGCCCACCCCTACCCCTCAGTTACATTTACTTACCCTCCTCCATTTTCAAAGTTCAAATACAGCATGGTCTTAAAGAGCTCAGACACCCAAAATGGAAACTGAGGGTTGCTGCAGCAACTGAGAGTTCAAAACAGAGATTGATTAACCCCCCTTCCTCCTTTACTTACCATCTTCATTCATGTCTTTTATCAAGTGCGATCCAAAGAGGTCCCCTTGCTAAAATCCCTCATCTCTAGGCCTCCCTAAAATTCCCTTCTTTAGCCTCTGCTCCTGCTTTTTTATAGTTGTCTGCTTCTAGTTTTTTGAACTGCTGCAATCCCCAACAAAAGCGCATTACCATCAATGATTTTCCAGAGAATAGAAGCTCAAAATTTGGGACACCAAAAAGCCAAAGTTTTAAAGCAAAGGAAAAAGTGGTCACAAGATTCAGACTAGGTCTCTCTTTTGAAACACAAGGGCCAGAGGGAGGAAAGACACTAAATAATAAGTGAGAAACCCACGTCCAGAAGCCCTCTCCATCCATCCCAACTGCACTCCAAAAACTGCTAGAAAGTGAGGAACCACCTCCAAACCCCAAATTCTCTACTTCTCCCTTTTCATCAAACGTTGTTGTTTGTCTCTCTGTGTGTGTGTACTAGGAAGGAAGAGACATGAAGTGGGGGAAGAATAGGGTTGTTGCTTCATCGTCTGCTTCTCGGCCGTTCTTGATCTCTCATGTGCTTCCGGCCTCTTGGCTCACCAAGTTCAAGCAGATGAGCATGGGCTCAGGGCAGCAGAGATATGCAACAAAAGCAGCGAACCCAAAAGGGAGCGGCGGTGGTGGTGGTAAACTGAATTTGAACTCTGCTCTGCCTTTCAGCTCACCGAATTTGAATAGTGTCGGCGGCGGTGGGGAAGGGAGATTCTACGGCGGTGATGACGACGCCTTCTGGAGGCTGTCGTTTGGGGACGAATGCCAAGCTTATGGTGACAACAAGTACGTCTCAGACGACGACAGCGACGATGAAAAGTTCCCGCCGTCGAGTTGCCGGAGCTGCTGCGCCAGATCAAACAGAGTGGGAACGAGAACAGGGGAGGAGGAGGAGGAAGTTGGGAATTTTGGGGTTTTGCCGGCGGCGGGTACGAGAGAGACCGCTGTGGAAATCAGAACTCCAAGGCTGAGATCGGCGGGAATAGAGAAGAAGGAGAAGAAGGCGAGGAGATCGAATTCGAAACGGCAATTGGGTTCAGAAGAAGTTACGGAAGCGAAGAAAAAACAGGGGAAGAATGCAGAGGCAGAGAGCCCAGAATTCAAGCAGCAGCCGGCGGTTTCAGAATTAGTAGGAGCCGCGTGGGATTCATCCACGAAGGCGGGAAATTTGGAGCTTGCGGCGGATATTCTCTCGTCGACCGAGTGGGGCAAAGTGGAAAAAGACGCGAGGAAGTCTCTGCACATAAGTGGCGAGCCGATGCAGAGGAAACAGAGCAAGCAGACTGCAGGGAAAGCCAGAGTTGGTTCGCCGAGGGCGCCGTCCAAGGCCGAACCTTGCAAAATCAGAGCAATTGAAGAGATGAAGATGAGAGCTAAGAGAAAGTCCAAGCCGCCGGAGAAAACGGCGTCGGCGGCGGCGGCGGAGGGATTTGATTGTTTGAAGAGCTTTGCGGTGGTGAAGAGCTCGTACGATCCGCAGAATGACTTCAGGGAATCGATGGTGGAGATGATTGAGGAGATGGGGATTCGGAAGGCGGAGGACCTGGAAGAATTGCTGGCTTGCTATTTGACGTTGAACTCTGACGAGTACCATGAGCTCATTATCAAGGTGTTCCGTCAGGTCTGGTTTGATGTCAACCACGCCGCCGCCTGTCATGATCGGTGATCTTAGCTTACAGGAAATCACCCGAACCAAGTTTGTATGATGGAAGATGAAAAAGAAAACAGACATCGTAGCTGTAAGCCTGTAACTGTAAATTTACCCATGTTACATGCATGTTCTTGTTAACATCCTGTATTTTCTCCATGAATAATAGTTATCAGGGAGTGACTATATCATAACATTTGTCTAATGTTCTATGTCAAATGGGTCCTTTCGGATTAAAACAGACTTTACTCGAGTCTTCTGCTATAATAGAGCTACTTTCTCTTTCAGTTATGATCCTCTGTATACAAACTGTGTTTCCAAATTCGTGGAATTGCAATGATCAAAATCAGAGGTTTTGGTTGGTTCTGTGCTGAAGAATGCTTCTAATGTTGTACATTGCTCATTGTAGTATATATGCTTTCTGTACATTCTGTTGTATTGATATTGATTTTGATTTTGTTTAATCCGTTTTCGGTTACGTTGTTTTCAGTTTCATATGTTACTTTAGTGGTGCCTGATGTTTGAAAAACTTATTGGTCGTCTTAGTGCTTGAAAATTCTCTAATAACAAACAATGTTATCAAAATCGAAATGAGAATCAACAAGGATTAGCAGGGTGTTGAACCTAATCAAACATCAATTTGATCAAATCATATACAACCCAGTTACCTGCATAAGCAAACCTCATTGCATCTCACAAGAGTTTCAAGATTAAGGGGAAACCAATTTCCAAAAACTACCTCACCACTTTCTCAGCATTCTATGGAACATTAAGGCTAAGACTTAAGAGGAGTGTAGCCTTCGAAATCAAGAAGTGAATGATAGACCAGCTAAATGCCAACTCATTTGGAACCAAAACATTATTCTTGTTCAAAAACCGAAACAAGGCCGGGCAGACGGACAAATTATGTACCTACACATCCCACTCACTATTTCCCATCGTTGGGGAACCTAGAGCAACGCAGTATTGTTTTTCAACTCAACAGCAAAACTTATCCAGAGTAAGCACAAGTGGTCCGAATTCCTGATCAGCCAAGGTTTCCTATAGGGCTTTCTCACAGAAGTTGCTAATCTCCTAGCATGAATGGATCTACTTCTCCAAGATCGGCAACCAAGGGTTCCAACCTATCATCCTCGCCATCTCCCGGAAAATACGTTGGGAAAGGAAGCAATGAAATCTCGTGCTTCCTGTACACTGCGTCTTTAATAAACACGAAATTACCTTCTGCTCCCGGTACCTACACAACAAGAGGCCAACTGTTCATACAACCTGACAATCTACACAGCAAAAGATCCATTTTATGAGTTTGCATATGAAATGGAGATGAAGGTGAGATGAGCTATACTTGGCCTTTCACCCAGATCAAGTTCCTAACTGGGTCGATCTTGTATATCCATACGTTCTTCACCGTTCTTTGCTTGCCACCCATACGCCCAGGCATTTTTTTCCCTTTAAAAACCTGCACAACAAATATATGCGTATAACATATCCAACCTCACCATATAAAAAAACTAATGCAAAGCAGGTGGTAACGTAGTCGATGGGTATCAGAATCATAAGAAGACACTCCGCAGAGCTTAATTTAGTCTAGAAACTTAAACTTCGAAAGCTAACAGGTTGAGCTTTAAACCACCAACATGTCTACTATCTAAGAAGGAAACTTCCACAACCAAAAGAAATCGGGAGTTTGTTTCAGATCACGTACTAATGATTCAACGGCCAATCAACATATTGCTAAGGAATGACTAAATTGAGCTAATTTAACAGAACTGTACAGCAAACAGAGAACTCGATAGTATTAAGGGCAGCACGGACCTTACCAGGAGCATCCCTCTGACCAGTAGAACCAATACTTCTGTGCGATAACGATGCACCATGACTCGCTGGCCCTCCTTTAAACCCATGCCTTTTCATTCCACCCTGCATACAGGCACAAGAAATTCCAATTTGCTTTCTGGTAGGTAAATCACCATTCTATCGACCATCAAACGTTCACATTCAGTTAAACAATTCCAAATAACAAAGCGAAAGTTTCTTAACCTGGAAACCCTTTCCCATGGTGATTCCAGTGACATCAACATATTGACCAGGAACGAAATGACGAACGCCAAGAGAAGTGCCGAGGGGCAGCAGCGCATCTTCAGTGACTGGGAATTCCCTCAATTTCCTCTTCAGAGGAACACCCTGCGCTCTGAAATGACCCACTTCAGGCTTCGTTAAATGCTTTGCCTTCTTCTGGCCGCAACCGATCTAACCACGCAAACACCATATTTAACCTTTCAATCCCCAAAAATTACAAAAAGACAGTGAACGGAAAGCATGGCAATGTCTTGATTCTTACCTGCAAAGCGAAAATCCCTTCTTTCTCGATAGTCTTGACCTGAGAGACGATGTTGTCGTCGACCCAGAGAACGGTGATGGGAACCCTGGCACCCCATTTGTCCCAAAGACCAGTCATCCCGCACTTGACAGCGATGAGTCCCGTTCGCTTGGACGACGGGGACATGGCGCCGGGCTTGGATTCGATGACTCGTGTGGGCAAAACAATTTCCTGCGGCTGCTGGAGCAGTACATCGGAACTCGCAGTGAAGCCCCTCAGAAATTGATGAAATGGAGATGGCGGATGGGTGACTACTGCGGCAGAGGATGATCTGGAGGAAAGCGACAGGAGGTGGTGGAGACCGGAAACCAAACGCCTTGACGCGGCGGCGGAGGACATATTTGGCCTGGGTAGAGCTCTGCTTTGCCGGTACAGACAGCGTTGTCTCTCTTGAATCTTGATGAACGGGAGGGGCGGAGGCTAGGGTTTTAGAAGGAAGGGATTCACTTGATCGGTTGATCCAGTATTCCCGTCACCACATTCACACTTCACAGGAAGGCCGAAGCCCAAGTAAAGAAGATCAAACGGGGCGTTTTGTCGGTTTTCGTTTCTGAAACTTTAATATTTTTTTTATTTTGGTAATGATGAGAAATGACTAATGACTATTTATTAATTAAATATTTTTTGAATTTCTTTTATTAATTAAATTTATCGAAATTCTAAAAATTATAAAAACCAAAAAAGTTAATGGAGAATTAACGTTTAACTAATTAATAACATTTCAATAGGTTTGATCAATGCAGTCAAAAGCGCGATTCTATCAAGAAGCGGCAAAGGGATAAAATCGTAAAGCGTAGAATCAAAGCGTAAAAGCATAAGTTTTTTATGCATATTGAAAAATAACTAAAATTCTATTAAGTAGGACATATGCTATGCAAAATATGAATGTACAAAATTTAGATAAGGTACTTAATACATGCGATTCATGCCAGCAACTTAGTCCGATTTTATACACTTAACCTTTTATATGGAAACGAAAGCGTTTTTGTGACCTAAAAGCGTAAAATCGTAAGTTTTTTAAGTTTTAAAACGCGATTTTGACTGCATTGGGTTTGATTAATAAAATAAATAAATAAAATATTTCACTAATAAATAGTTATTACCGTAATATTAATTTTTGAACAGTTGTTGCATATGTTTCTATGTGCTTCACCATTAACCATATAGTCATCTCTGTTCATTTTTCAATCCGTTATTATATTTGTTTTCTTGATGTATATATCAATTTGAGGATGATGATTGAACCACAACATCATTTTTGTGGTGACATTAATTTAATTTTTCACACTCATATTATCTAATACATCTTGCTTGTTTGCCAATGAATCTCATTGTCAGCATTCTTTTTGCATATATTTTCATGACTTGCTTTTCAGTTTGTAAATGGTGATGATCTTGAACTCTATGATGGGGTTTTCTAACATTGTTGTATTTAATAATCACAGTGTATCCTAAATCAAGTGTGTTTATTTTTACAATGGAAACCATCAATCTTCTCCCATGAAATTCCTTCTCTTCCTTGAAAATCATTTCTAGGTTGTTGTTTTTATGCATTCTCCCTATGTACTTATCGATTTGAGAATGAAAATAGATCCAAAGCGGAGGGAACTGTTTCTGTATACTCACATTGCTCGCCTATTCAACAAGTAATATTTCCAACCTGTCGTTTCTTCTAATTTTTCAAATGAACTTCTCTATTTAAGGACAATTAACGATCTCGACATGAGAGTGTTTATGTTGATAGTGTCATTGCATAGTCTTCACTGTTGGGATCCCATTCCCCTTCAAAGATGTTTTTTATATGTGCTCTCTTGACATGATACTCAATAGGTGAACAACTATGGATCCTAACACACAATTTTTCCTAATGTTTATGTGGTTTGCTCCACTAGTTCGTTTGTCAACCCATAACCAATCTACAAATATATAATAGCAGAGTTGTGAGCAGTTTTTCAGCATTTCAAATTTCCTGCAACGAGAGCGAAAGTAGGAAGGGTATTTTTGTTTTCATAATCATTATTTATTCATAAAAAAAATACATCAATCTCGGGATTTGAACCATCGTCTTTCCAAAAGAAAACAACAACCATTACCAACTACACTAAAGAAATGTTTTGTATTTTTTAAATACAAAATCTGAAAAACCTAAAATCTAAATATAATATGACTTTCCCACTACTGTTAGCTAGCCCACTAGCTCTTTCGTAAGTACTTTTTTTGTTATTTGAATTTTGAATTTTCATATTTTGATTATTTTAATTTGAGTTTAATAATAAATTTAATTTATGTCTATCTTATAAATGGAGGATAATTTTAAAATTGCAACCCAATATCATTGATTTGAATATTGAATTGCAGTATCGAATGTGTAGATGTGATATAGAATTCTTAACTTCATATTAATTTTTAGAACTATTAAAGCAACGATATTGTTATGTAAACGGTAAGTGGCCCTTTTTTTTGAAAGTTTTAGTTTGGTTAACCGTTAAATCCTAAATCTCTTGATCGTATGGTATGACTGGACAAATGGGTGAGTTTAAAAGAATACAATTCTGAATACCAATTTTTTTAGATGCTTTCAATTATTTAAATCTTTTATCTTATAGGATAATTGACAATATGTATCATTCATAGTTACTTAGTTTAATATGAAATAATCGCAGTACAAGACAAATCATGAAAGTCGGACTGTAGTTTTCATGGATGTATTGATGTGGTCATGTGCATTAGCAAGGTAAGTACTAGGGGTGGGCAATGGACAGGTTAGGTGGATTTTGGTCTCAAATTGACCCACCCGCTCACTAGCGGGTTGGTATAATTGTGACCCACTATCCACCCACATTCTTCTACATGTTGGGTTGGGTGAGTGACGGATGGGTGCGGTTGGGTTGTGGGTTAACCCGCAAAAGTAATTGTCCACCTAGACACTAAGAAAGTTTCATAACATATATAATGAGTTTATCGTAAATTAGTATGATTGTATCATTTTAAACACTTCCCACTTTGTCTCATGTGAATCCATGTAGTATTTACATCAAATTTTCAATACTCTACCAACCAATTGTGTAGAGAATTTGAGAAAACTGGTGCATTTTGTGACTTTGATAAAATTAATAGATTATAATGTGAATCCAATATCTTAGGGATATTACATGACTCACCTCAGAACTGCACCGCGAATTAATCCCGACTAGAGCCCAAGTTTTTAAACTCTAGTCGGGTGCAGTATAGGGCAAGTATTTAAATTATCAACCCGGGCCGGTCCATATACCCCTACTTCAAGCGCTTAAGTTGTTATCTAGCAAAACGGTGTTGGTTTTAAAACTAGGAAAACTATAAAATAAACGACCAAGTAAAGAAAATCGAGGGGAATTATATATGAGAGGACCTCACCCGGGTATTGCTCCCCCTAGTCTCGTGCCAGGAATCAATGAACGAAACTCTAGTGTGAAGGATGTGTTTATATACCGCGAAGCGGGTGCAAAAAGCTTGGATCGAGCCCTCCTAGTCGGTCAATCAATGATTGCTACTATAAGCTAGCGAACCTAGCTCTCTTAACCGCTTGGCTAAGGATTGCAACAATAAGCTAGGAGGCCTAGCTCTCTTAATCAAACAAACCGAGGAAACCCTAACTCTCTTAGTTGACCAATTATGGATTGTTGCATTAATTTAGTAGACTAACTCTCTTAACCTTTCGGCTAAGGATGACAACAATAGGCTAGATGATCTAGCCCTCTTAACTAATCAACTAACGGTTGCAAGACCCAACCCTCGGAAGTTAATCCGGACGGCGGAGAGTGACCAACCATGATGGGATCATGGTACTACTCCGATACTTGAGGTTTTGTCCCTAGATTAACCCAAATGGGGTTACCCAAGTGACTAGGAAATCAAACTCCCTATGGGCCAAAGGGGGATTTCTACCTTCTAGGTTAATTTGACCCAATAATGAGATAATACAAGCAACACCCAATCATTCATGATTAATACCTCAAATATTATATAAAACACACAATCAACACAATAGAATCAAGTTCTTACATCCTAACACACATCTAGACTAGGATTCACAATACCCAAGTGAGTAGGAAGGCTAATCCATAGCTAGGCAAAGGAAAACAACAAAAAGGAGAGAAAGAATCATGGAGAGATGAGTGTCTTCCTTCCTTCGTGCTTGAATCTCCCTTGAGAAGAAGAGATCTTCAATCCTCTAGCTTGAATTGAGCCCAATCTCCTTCTTCCTCCTTTGATGGAACTTTCTCTCTCTATAATGGGAAGAAGAAATCCTAATCACTCACTAGAAAACCCTCTTTATTCTGAAAACTATAAACCCTCGAAAAACTCCCTCTCTTCCTCCTTTCGACTCTCTATTTATACCCAGTCGTGCCCAGTTCACAGTCCCAGTTCTGATCACTCACTAGAAAACCCTCTTTATTCTGAAAACTATAAACCCTCGAAAAACTCCCTCTCTTCCTCCTTTCGGCTCTCTATTTATACCTAGTCGCGCCCAGTTCACACTCCCAGTTCACGGCCGTGAACATCAGGCCGCGTCTGTGAACTCTGATCAAAATGCGCTGCTTCACTTCTGGGGGTTCACAGTCTATGGCTCCAGTTCACGGTCTTAGCGTCCGTGAACTGCCTTGGCGTCAGTAACCTCTGAAACCCCTCTGGACGCTTCACAGTTCACGGTTTATGGTTCCAGTTCACGATCCTGGCGATCGTGAACTCGCAGCTCTGATCATGAACTGCGGCTGATTCCTAGACGCCTGCGCTTCACAGTCAGGGGGCATTGTCACTATTTGGACTTTTCTTCAGTTTGTGTGCTTTTCGACCTCCAATCGTCCTAAAACTCATCCTCGACCCTTCCACACGTGCTAGGACCTAACATGTATCAAAACAAGCACAACCTAGCTTGAAATATCTCGAGGGACAATGAAATGCAAAGCCAAATTATCAAGAAATGTGGGGGTAAAATGTGTACAATTGGACCCGAATCATTACACAACATAATAACCAATAATAGTAGCCTAATGTCTAAAAATATTATATATTCTCTATTTTTAGAAGTAGATGGTCAGTGTGTAGTGCGGTTAGGAAATATGATGAATATTCGATAGAATAAGAAAAAATCATTTTATCATATGAAAATATAGTGCAGATCATTGAGTGACCCGCAATCCACCCACCACCCACCCACATAAGTGCCAGTAGGAGATTTATCAACCCGCAATCCACCCACATCAATCCAACCACTGCTTGCGGTTCGGGTTATCTGCGGGTGGTTCGACCTCAACCCGCGGATTAACCACCCACGTGCCCACCCGTAGTAAGTACCACAAGATAGCACTACAAGAAATTAGGTATTTTGTGACGCACCCAATTTGTCATTTTAGTGTGCCATTTTGTCACTTTTTGTCTAATGTGACAAGTGTTATGACAAAAAGGCTTTATCAGCTTTGCTCCGTCGTATTAGGTCTAAT